AAAGTTGAGCAATGAATTTATTACGCGGTGAGGGCACTAATTGTTCCTGAATTGGGTAGAATTTCAATTAAGTATTGAAACCAAACATGTGTGCTTCTTTATGTTACCTTTGGACGAAAATGGATGAAACCTAACTCACTCTTGAATTTCGATGAAGAGTTTGTACAGTAACAGTATGAACGAAGGAATGAAGCCAACAAGGCTAGGGGCATAGGGCATAGGGCATAGGGGAGTGGCAAGGTACAGGAAGGAAGGAAGGGAAGTGGGGCCCCACACAAGTGTTTAGTGAGCTGGAAGGGGTGTGGGGTGGTGGGATAAAAGAAAAGATAAAGCAGCCCTGCACGAGGCAGGCATGTGTATTTGTGTTATCAGTTGGTAACAATGCTTCTGTGTCACTGCCTCCTCTCTCTCTCTCTCTCTCTCTCACTCTCACCACTTTACGCAGAGTGAAACACTTAATATGAAAAAAGAAAGAAAGAAAAACAGTAATTGTGTCTATGTGTCTGTCTGTGTGCGTGTGTGACAGTGGATATGAGTTGGATATGGCCATATTGGTCATATGGGAAGGAAGGAAGGAAGGAAGGAATTGAATGGATTGTCACTTTCTTTGGTCAAAGTAATTGGAAGACAGCTGCCCCAGTTGCCAGTTAATACCTGCTACCATACCTTTTCCCTATTAAGTTTTGCTTTCTTATTCCCTTACCCTCTACCTCTGCCTCTTCCATCATCTTATCACACTCGTCCATTATGCATACCTTCCTCTTCCCCTCCATCCGATGGTTGATATGTAATGAAACAAGGACAATAATATAATCAATACGACAGAGCACTCTATATGTACATACATATGAATATGAATATGAATATGATGATGGTACGTAAGAATGCTCTTCGTTTCATATCGTACATAACATAATCGTAATTCTCAAGGGATTTCTGGTGGCCCATATTCTCCAAGTACCAGCATCATCATCAGCAAAGGTTTTGGGTTTTGTTTAAAGCTTGCTTAGCTTTTTGCTCTTTCCTAATTGCCCTTCCTCCCATATCTTATTGCTTAAATGCCATGCCCTTCTCTTCTAAATCCAGCACAACCTCGGGCCTTGTTGGACTTACAAAACTATAATTTCCAACGCTAGACATGTTATCAGCCGCGAAACCACAACAAGGCCGTTGCCGTGCCAAATACAATTTCTGAAATTAATTTATAACTCATTTGATAATCATTTTATTTTTATTGTTTTTGAAAATTAGAAAAAATTAAAAATGTGTTTGGTAATAGTTTTCATTTTCTGTTTTTGGGAAAATAAAAACTATTAACCTAATTTTTTTTAAACAACTTGAATTTTTATTTTTTTTTTGGTCATCCTTTCTTATTCACCAATTTTTCATCAACCCATATATATTCCACTTATGCTACTAAAACTCAGTATTTGGGACCTCCTAACTTGAGCATGGCCACTCAACTCTTGCGTTCGGCCACGAACCCTAAGTCATGTCATGTTTAGGGGGTGGACATTTGAACCAATGAGCTGAGTAAAACAAAAAAGGGGGAGAACACATGTTGACAGAAAAAGTCAACCTAGGCTCAAAAATCGAACGAAACCGCTTTGGATCAATTCTCATCCCGATTCTTGTCTTGAAAAAACCTGTCAAAACCAAACCAGACCGGTATGTTCAATTTACTTATTCATTCATATCCAAAATAATTAGCAAGCCTAATTAACTTTCAAATCACATTAGTAAATCCAAGTAATATCTAAATATTTTAGCACAATTAATACCCAAATATCTTAGTTTCAATTTATACCCAAGTAAATAACTATAGCCCAACTTCTTTTTCTTTTCGGTGAACCATAGCCGCTCATGTTGCGCTACCGTCTTTATCTATTTTCCACCTATTTCTTTTTATTTCTCCTCCTCTTTATCTCTTCACATCTTTCTCTCTTATTTTATCTCAACTACCTATTTTTCCTTTCTTCCTATTTCTTTCTTCTTCACATCTTCATATATTTATCTTTCCAAACCAAAAACTGGCTGAACTGGAACCAAAATTGCATAGTTCCAGTTTGGTTCGGTTCATCTAGACACTTTCTATGAAAATTGAACCGAACCAGAACCAAAACCACATAAGTCCGGTTTGTATGTTTTTGTCTTTCAAATTTCAAATTGTTTGGATTTTTGAATTACACTATAGTAGTTAATGCATTACATTCATGTGAAGGCAAATGGGGGTGGTGTTTTTTGACTGGTTTAGTCCCGACATTTGTGCACGATCAAAGATGATAATTCATGGGCTGTTAAAGAGGATAGATGTGGCTAAGGGTTTGTAACATTCCACATCGACCAATGGAGAGGGGGTGATGTGCATTATATGTACATGCCCACCTCCATCTAGCATGAGGCATTTTGGGAGCTCACTAACTTCGAAGTTCCCAGTTGGAGGAACTCCAAAGCTAAGCGAGTTAGGGCTAGAGCAATCCTAGAATGGGTGACCCACTAGGAAGTTGCTTGTGAGTTCCCAAAAATAAAACCGTGAGGGCAGAAAAAGGAGCCCAAAGTGGACAATATCGTGCTACGGCGGAGAAAATTGTTGGGATAGTTGTTGCCTTTCTCTTGGTAGTTTCAGATGAGGAGAAGGTTTAGGTTGGAACAAAGGCAACATTGGAATTGGCCTAATGTGTTGTTGACGTGTTTTTTTATTTTTATTTTTGGAAATACCAATCTAATATCAAATGGAAAAAGCGATACTTTATTTATGTTATTGGTGATTTTAGTAGGATAATTTATGTGTATTTCTTGTAGGAAAAATAAAAAGCTCTAAATGCATTCAAAAGTTTTATGGCCCTTGTTAAGAATGAAATTGGGAGCACAATTAAAGTTCTTCGAACGGATTGTGGTGGAGAATACACTTCACAAGCTTTTGAAGGTTTTTGCGCCTTACATTATATTTAGAGAGAACTTAACACATCCTACACACCACAACAAAATGGTGTGTCCGAGAGGAAGAATTGAACAATCCTTAACATGGTGATGAGCATGCTAGCAAAAGAGGAAAAGTTCCAAAGAGTTTCTGGCCGAAAACAGTAAATTGGAGCACCACATGTTGAATAAAAGCCCTACACTTGCAGTTCAGGACATGACACCCAAAGAGGCACGAAGTGGAAACAAAACAGTGGTTGATCACTTCAAAATCACTTAGATAGATTTGTTTTGGTTGAAAGATTTCTCATCTCTAGGATATAAAGAAGAACTTCAAGTTTATGTTACAAAAGATGTCAAAAACCCGCAGTCCAGTCGTGTAAGTTGGTTGCTCAATACCCTAAAACAATATCTTTTTACTTTTTCTCACTAGACCCTTCCTTTTCCCCAACCCAAAACCCACAACATATCTGAAAACGCCTTGGAACCACCCATTCGGCTAATAAACCGAGCTTCTCTCCCCAACTCCCCTCGGTTATGTTGTGAAGAGCAACCAGCTTTATGTTGGGTTTTGTAGATTCCTTGCTTTGAAAGGGTTTAATCTCATCCTAGTTTTCTGGGAGTTGTTTATTAGCCTTTTGAGGCTGGATTTTGGTAGATCTAAGTATATATGCTACTTTAGACCTCTGTTGTGTGTGTCTTTGCAGTTTTTGGGCTTTTGTGGTAGACCTCTTTCAAATCTCTCTGTTTTGTAGGTGGAGCTTCTAGATTCGGTCGTATCTACTATCAACAGTTATTTTATTTTATTTTATTTTATTTTTTTTGGAATGAAGTGGAGATTTGAAGATGTTGTGATGTTCTTTGGAATGTCTTGGTGGAAGCTGAGCGGTAATGCCCTCCACTTCGAGGTGTTTCATATCCCAAGTTGTTTGAGTGATTGTTCTCTACTTGGTCTTCTTGAAGCACTAGTTGTTGCAGGATTTATGGGTCCTCCTTGTATGTACTCCAGGTGAGATAGGTTGTTATTTTGTAGTCATTATCTTGCAATGTTTGTGCCTGTTTTTTTTTCTTCATATTTTCTAATTTTATGTATTGTAAGAATCTCCTTAGGATTGTGTTCTTTCTATTTGTGTCCTGAGTATTTGTCATGTTTATCGATTAATCTTACTGTTTAAAAAAAAAATTAAAAAAAAGAGCTGGTTGCTCAATGTTGACTTAAAATTCTTTTGTTTTGATAATAATATTGACATTTAAGTTAGAAGAGCATAATGAGAAATTTGTGAAGATAAATCCTTGCTTGAAGAGCTATGAGTCTATGACCTAGCCGCCTAGCCTGGCCAAACCTAGATAAGTGGTATATGGCATGTCACTATTATGTCACGCACCAGAGAGTTAAGTCCAATTTTATTTTTAAATGATTGATTGTGGAGATTTAAAGAAAAAAATAAAATAAAAAAATCCCACCACGTAGATTGTAGACAGTAAACAGCTGCTGCTGCCTGCAGTTGCCAATTGGACGAGGCTGACCTTTGACTTCCCGCGTGATTGCTGTTTTTCTGATTTCATTCCCTCCCAAAACTTTTTCCGTTCCGTTTCTGCCACTGCTGCTCAGTGAGTCAGTGTGTCTCACGCCTCACCTCACTCCACCAAAAAGTTGACAAAACAAACGCACTTGCTTGGGGGCAAGTTTCGTCATTTTGATGCAAACAGGGGGCAAATTAGTCACTCGACATCTTCCCCTTAAAAATAATCAAAACGACAGCGACCAGGGACATAATAATACGAACAGAAGCCATTCCCACTCTCATCATTACGCGTGTTGGGATTATGCACCGGTATGGGGAATGGAAGATAATTACATATAGCATGATGATTCATATAAAAATGGAAAACATACGAGTGTGATGAAGACGCGCCAGATGTAGTGCGTGAATAGTTGATGTACAATAATGTTAAGAGGTGGGGGCTGGATGTGTATATAATTCATGTCCGTATTATGAGAGGGGCTTTCCTCTTTTTCCAACTTTTGCTTTCTCTTCCCTCCCTTCTCCCTTCACTCTCTCTCCCCTCTTTTTTTGATCTCTCTCTCTCTCTCTCTCTCTCTCTCTCTCTCTCTCTCTCTCTCTCTCTCTCTCTCTCTCTCTCTCTCTCTCTCTCTTTCTCTCTGACCTAATTGTCTCTCTGATCAACACCCTCCTCCCTCACCACCAAATTCCTCACCATCTAAATCCTGTAGAAGATCCCTCTAAATCTAGTGGGACTTGTTCTTTCTTTCTTCTTTTCTTCTTCTTGTTCCACCACCACCACCACCACCACCACCAACTAGATCCATCTATTATTAGCTATCTTTGTGCCACAGTGGTAGATAGGGCTCATAATTAGTTAACATCAACAACAACAACAGCAAGATATACATAGGGAAAGTTTTGTTGCTGACTGAGAGATCCAGAGACAGCAAGATATATTGTACAAGGAGCTGCTAGCTAGAGGTCGATCCCATATTTGTCCTTGAAGATTAAGATGACTCCAGCTAATTTGGCAGGGCAGTTTGGTGATACCACATACACCAAGGTGTTTGTTGGAGGATTGGCTTGGGAAACCCAGAAGGAAACCATGAAGAAATACTTTGAACAGTTCGGTGAGATCTTGGAGGCTGTTGTCATCACTGACAAGGCCACCGGCAGATCAAAAGGCTACGGATTTGTATGATTTCTTCTTATTTTTCTTTTATCGCATGCATTTTTCATCTCTTATATCTACACATATGAATATGTACTAATGCTAGCTAGATCTTGACACAAAACAAGGATTGAAATCGATCATAAAATCAGTATACTTGATTCTTCATTTGAATTTTGTGATAGTGAACTTGTATAATTATACAGGTAACTTTTCGCGAATCCGAAGCTGCCATGAGAGCTTGTGTGGATGCTGCTCCTGTGATTGATGGGAGGAGGGCCAACTGCAATCTTGCTTCTCTGGGAGTTCAGAGATCCAAGCCTTCAACTCCAAAGCATGGTATACCCGCCTTCATTCCTCAATTTTCTTTTATTTTCATATCTTTTCTGAATTAGGTATATGCATTGTCATACTGGTCTTCTCCAAATATAGAGTATAATTAGTGATCAAATATGACAGATCTGACAAAAGTTTTAGCAAGAATTAGTGTTGCGTGTTTGAGTTGTGGATATTCCTCTAAAGAATTATAATTTGTGTATTAAAAAGAGCCGAAAATATTCTGGTTTGGAGTAAACGCACTTTCACAGTGAAATACATGCAACATGAATATTCCTAAATAAAAGATTAAGTTGTTAATTAGAAATGGTTAAATATCGAACAAGTCTCATATATCCTTTTTACTAAGTTAATTAGCAACAAAATTACCCAGCTACCATTCCAAAGCATGACATATAGTTTATAGTTTTGGAACCACATGTTTCCTCTTCTTTGAAGCATATCCTCCTCATACATACATACATATATATATATATATATCTTCAGTGGAGTGGCATGCATGCAATTAACTCTGTATGTTTATGTTATAATTTGTAGAGTGATGATAGATATAATCATGAATTAAATTTGCAGTTGGAAATAATTAATAAATTGGGTATATATATGGATAGGTGGTGGAGGAGCAGGCAGGAACTTTAGGGTAATGGGGTCTTTCCAAACAGGGTTCGGAGGTGGAGTCGGATCAGCTTTTCCTTCTGCAGCAGCAACCTTCCCTCATTATGCCATCCAACAAGGGATACCTTACAATCTTTATGGGTATGTATACCATCATCATCATCAACTATTATAATTAACTATATAGGATGAATTCATTCATGAACATGCTTTCATTTCTACAACAATATGCATCATGTGTATATATGGGAAGCTGCACGTGCATTGCCAACTCATGCACTTCCACCACCCGACCTCATTAATCAAAAGCACGCTCATCTCTCTCTCTCTCTCTCTCTCTCTCTTCTTTTGCATTTGTTCATATTACATGCAGATTAACTCATCCTTGCATCGCATTGCATGTCTCCTACTTTTGCAACCTTAGGCATGCATGCATGCATGCGCTATATCATGCATGACATGAACTGTTTTATCATGAGTCATGCATGCATACATCATTTTCATGTTCGATGCTTTTTAAATTAATTTGAAAAAGAATATTCGTTTTGGATCTTGAGAGTTAATTATTTCCAAAGCTTTAGTTCAGCTTCTAACTTGTAACTTTTCGATTTCTTTGAACGCTACTCGGTTTCAGGTACTCTCCATACTCACCAGACTACACTTACCCTACGGTTTGTAGACACTTCTCCTTTTTATTACTTTTACTTTCTTTTCTACTATACAGTTTCGCTTCTTAGGATGCTCCTGCTTCTGGAAGCCTTGCTACTTTTTCCTTTTCAGGAGGCAATCACTTTTCAAATTTCTCGACATATTTTTACCACTTGGTTTTCCTTTTGTCCAAAGAAACTATTTTGGGAGCTTATTACCGACCCACTAAACTAAACTTAACAAAATTACCTTTTCCATAATAAAAAAAAAAGAAGAAGAAAAAAGAACGCGGCTTTTAAATTCATGTCATTTTTTGTCGAGGAATTTAAAAGGCGTGTTCATTTTTTGAAGTATCGGCATTC